GCGGTTGCTTTTATGAAATAAACGAACACGGCTAGATTGAATTATATTGTCGAAGATAACAATCACGAAGGTGTTGCGTGAATATCGTGAAGCTAGTTCGGTAAGATTTTACAGCCGTGAAGGTCTCGACGGGAATTAACTCCAATCAATTACAAGGGTCGTTAACATTTTTATAGAACATTCCTAGAACGATTCCACCCGATGACACTCGTGATTAGGATAAACGAAGGTTCATTGACTCTTCAGATAAATTCGATACACGAAGTTCTTCGGAAAGTTTCTAGCCGTGTTTGTGTTTATTCGCCCTTCCCTTGAAACACATGAAAGATGGGCGATCCCTGGATCATTGGATCATGTGGCAATTTGATCGTTGAAATAAGATACACGAGAAAATCATTTCAAAACAGAAACTCTCTTAATTTTGCTTATCTTTCTCATGGATCAAACAAAAATCAATTCGTCGTGTCAACTTATCAATGTCAGTGTCCAACTATTCAAACATTTCGATATTAATAAAATACTAAACATTTAGATATTCTTCCAAAATTTCCATCGCCCATATTCAAGTGATAGCAATCAAAGTTCTAATATCGTATACCGAATAGTTCTCTAAAATAAAATTTTAACACGTTGAGCGCCGCACGATTTTGCCGAGACAAATGTAGAAAATGAAAATAATGTAATGTCAACTTATGTAATTGAATTACGTTGTTATGATTGCAGGTTTGAATTGTTGAATATCAGTTCATTAAATGGTATTACTTATAATATAGAAAAGTTTTCAAGCAATCATCGTTTAATCGAATGAATTATAGTAATTCGATTCAGTTGAGATCACCGGTGACTCCCATGGCATCCAACGTATTAACATTGACCATCGAGGATGCTACTGCAAGAAATACTACAAGGTGAATACTCGGGGAACACCACTGAATGATGCTTTCAATAACGTATATTTCAATACTGTTTTATACAAGACTTCCTGTTTTACGTGTTCTATACGAGGACTCGCGCGAGTCCTCTTCGTCGCCCTTTTTGAGGAGGATCGATCCTTCCCGTATCAAACCTCACCCTCGCAAAATCGCTAGCTTTTCCTAGGAACGTCGACAGGAAAAGCATCCTTGTCCTCATCTGCCTATCCCTTGATGCAACTCCAAGTCTGCACAGTGTCGGCCATAGTATTGTACATTCCCGGCCCTCAAAATGTTGTCTATTGCCCGGGATCTTGTCGACGCCTAGACAGATTTTCAACGTTTCGTACACTGCTTGATCGATCGACATTGACATGATTGATTCAGGTATGTATCTCACATCGTACTGCACGACCTCACACACCGCCGGAAACCATAGGACACGCGACACCACGGCCGTTCTCTGATTCATCGGTGGATGTGTCGCGAGGAAAATCGATCTCCGAGAACCAGGAAGAGGAAACCGCTTACTTTCTCTGCCGCGGACGAGTCCGCTGCTCTCTGACTTAACATCCGTCTGTCCGTCCGTACGGGACCGATACCGATACACGCGTTTCACGAATGAGTGTTATGCGAGCGCTTTCACGGTTGCAATTCGCCGCCGTCACGTTCGAACGAAAACAAACGAACTCGTAACCAGAAATTAAAAGGATCTAGAAAATATCTGTTTGAAATTTATTTATCGATACTGTATTGCGATTCTGCATTTCTTTCAAAATCGAAAAATAACAGTTACAGAATCGTTATAGTACTGGATCTAAAGGACTAGAATCGAAACCGATTTATCTGATAACAGTTGACTGTACTTCGGTTCTCCATAACTGTTTCAAGAACTGGAACCGATATCATAATTGTTTTCAACCCTTCCTAGTAACATTCTTATAACGCACCAGTAACGTAATACGAAGGATCTCGAGGAAACTAATTGTTCGCGAAAAGTCGCGACTGTGATAACGGTACTTTGTACCAATATATCAATAATATTGCTTTCTTTTATGTTAACTTCTAATGTAAAAAATGAATAGTTTCATTTCTTTTAATCACCGATGTAGCTTTTTTCAGTTACAGTTAACTTTTTAATGCCCTTTCCGGAAAACCATTACAAAATATATTATTAAGTAAAATGAAAAACGGTGTTACTTAAAGGATGACTTAATACTTTAACGTTAAGACAACTGGATTACATAAAAATGCACATGAAGAAGTCATTAAAGTTGGAATTATATATATATGAAATGTTATTCTAACGCTGACACAAAAAAACGTTTGAACTTTAGAATTAATCACTTACTTATTGACCGTAATCCATTAGACATAATCAATGATACAGATGATGGAATTTTTTGAAAATACATTAAAAAGACCCATTCGGTCAAAGTTATTTTACTTGTTGTTTAACTCTAGCACTGCAACGTGCTAGTCTATCTTTTATCCGCCATTATCGTTTTTTCGATCGGCTCTAACTCAGCAATTATCCCTTTGCCTGCACCGGAAAAGATGTCCTTTTGCCATCGAACATAGTTGTCCAGACATTTCCAAAGCCTCGCCGGTGTACAGATTATTAACATTCAGCCATAAATCTCGTCGACCTCTGACATCATCGGATCAATTTAGATTCTGAGCCGACTGACAGTAAAACGATTTTAGTGCTGGATTTGCATGTCACCGGCGACACGAACGTATTCTCGCAAGAACATTAGAGAAACCATAAATCCGAATTGTTTTCCGTGGATACATCTCGATTGCGAAAATTCGGACGGCCGTGCGGCGTGCGGGTCAAAACAAAATGGCGGCCGCTGCGTACAGCCCGCTCGATCCACCGAGCGTTGAAAATTCGTCGCGGAGAAAAAAGTTTGCGATTTGTTTATACCAAAATAATTCATGTTAATTGCTACCCTCATAAATATGGTGATCGTTCGTCCATATCGAAATGTTATTGACTAAGAAACTTCTTTTTGTAGATCAAGCATTAGCGATCCTAATCTGATAATGTCACCAATTACACGATAAAACAGTCGTCGATCTTTTTTCTACGATTTTCTTCTTTTGTACTTTTTTCTTTCCTGTATGTTATTTTGTTCTTTCTGTATATATTCTTTCCTTGATTTTCCATGTCAATCTTCTTTCTATGAATGGTGGTATGCATAATCGAAGGAATCGAATTATGGAGATTGCACAATAAAAGAATGACATGAAGAAATGTCAACGAGGGCAAAAAAAGGAACTAACGTCACTTTAGCGGGGCATCAATAAACCATTATCCAGTATTAGCAATGGAAGCATATCAATTAGTGGCCGTGATAATATCAAAGCTCTAGCAAAGATGATGCTGAATTGTATGCGTCAATCGAATGTTCTTCTCCCGCTTTATTATTTATATAAGCGTTAAAATCGTAGTGATTCATACGGTAATGTTCGAATACAAAACGTACATATTTTTGCTAACGTCATCTCGGTATTATACCGCTTTTTTCATGCGGTAATGACTTGTAAATGGTCTATCATGTATTTCTCTCAACAGAAGAAACAAACTTGTATGCGTAGACTAATCATGACTGTTTTATTTCACGCATGAATCTTACGAACTAGTTTTCTAGAAAAAAATCCTACTCGGAATTCTAGTTCAGGAGGATAAAAGCGATGAAATCTTCCGAGAGACATTTACTCTTTTCGACGTTTCGTGAAACGATCTTCTATCCAGAATTCCGAAAACACCAGGAAATAATTTATTGCCCGTGCGTTTTCGATAAATACGCTCCCGAGACGGATCGAAAAAAACTCGACGCAAACGTCATTATGGGGCAGCAATTAACGTCACCCGCGAATTTGCGTAAATTTCGACGGAGTCGTCGGTTTCCTGACTGAAATCTCATTTGAGAGTCGCGTGTCTTTTATTATTATTCGAAGTATTGGTTAACGCTTTGCACTCGGAAGGCAACTAAGAATTGGCTCTCTGATACCGCAAAATTCTAATGTTTAGTATTCAATATTATAGTATTATAATATTAAATTTTGTGCGATGTAATAGATGATACATGAGATATTGAAAAAAGATGGTTCATAGTAAAATTATATTTTGAATTTGACTATTGAAAAACGTCACCGCTGTTTCGTCAGAAATTGAAGAATGCATATAGCAATAGAGCTTTCGAGTGTAAAGAGTTACTTTAAGATCGATGACGTAATGGAAGAAATAAATGTATCAATGAGTGTTACGTTAAATATGTAGATTGCATCAGCATTTTAACTATTTGCACTCGAAAATCTTTCACAACATTCTGTCATATTAACCAATCAAAAAGCATTTATAAATTAAGAAACAAAGCTATTTTATTTCAATACTTAATAATAGATTATACAAAGCTTAATATTACGTATAAGACTTTACAATCTTGCTACATCGAATCAAGTGGTAACCGAGTCACCTTTCGGGAGCAAACGATTAATGCAGCAGCTCCTGACAATTTTCCTTTACTTTTAGAGCAAGTAAAAGAAAAAGAAACCTCCCGAATGTTTCATAACCGGGTCCATCTTGGAATGACCTGTGTTCAGATGACTCGAGGTGTTCGGTGTATGTGCAATATCGCGATAGAAAGCTTTTGCCAAGAATTTCATTCTTCTAGGAGCGACTGTCGTGCATCGATCAGCAGCCGGCAGTGGAAAGAAGGGGAAAGCGAATAAAAAGACGAAGAGGTGAAAACCTCTTGCATAAGGGAGAGGCGCGGGACACGCCGGGCCATCTGGGAAAATGGGATTGTACGCGATGCCGTTGCGCGCGGGTTATCAGTGTACATCTTATCTCCGTTCGTCACACGCGATTGATCGTAATCTGTTTCGTCACACCGATTGATCAATGTTTTCGAACCATTTATCGCTCTTGGCATTGCATTCGGAAATGTTCCATCATTAACACTGAATCTACCGTGCAATTAGAATAACTTGTTTCAAATCTCTTATATAACACAATTTTATTTTGCTTACAACATTAATTCGTTACTATCACATTCGTGAATAAATTTCGAAGCCATGCAATTCTCAGTTGTGTTTTATTTGTAAAATATCTCCAGTGAACGGATTAACTTATCCGTTTCGTATCAGAAGTTCTCGGCAAACCTCACAACGCGCTGGAACCTTAAAGCAACCTTCGAGCAACCTTCAAACTTCAACTCGTTCTCCAAACCTCCTCGTTCTCTGTCTCTTTTCGTTCCTTTTCTTCTTTCGGTATCAAAGCGTCGAATAAGTTTAGCAACCAGTGACTACATAATTTCGTCAATGAAGAGAAGAAAAGGAAAAAAAAAACGTGGACACGTTGCATACACATCGCTCGCTTTCACGGTTTCCGCGAAACGATAAGTCAAAAATTGCCGAAGCAAAAACGACCGTGGCGCGGCGCGTCGGCTCGCCAGGGAATTTTCGCATGCCTTCTCTTAGGTGTTCGCTAGAAAAAGTGGTCCATAGAAAGTTCACGCGTCCATTGCTCGCGGTTCCGCGAGCGGGATCGTTACTCGCCGTTGAGACGGCAAACCTTTTCACTGATATCGTTTTTCTGTACTCACCGCGGCGTAGCTCGCTAGTGGGCCTTTGACGCACTTGGAACTGATGAAAACTAGTTCCCAATGTCATCGAGTCACAGTCTCTTACTATAGTTCTCTTCACTATAATTTGTAAAGCGATACTGTAGCTTCCAAAGAGATATGATAGCTTCCAGAACAATATTGCAGTTTCCATGGCGATACTGTAGTTTCCGAAGCAATTCTGTAGATTCTAAAGCAACACGATAAATTCTAAAGCGATACTTCAGGTCTCTAAACGATACTATACTTGTCAAGGCAATATTTGAATTCCCAAAACAATATTCTAAATTTGAAAGCAATACTGTAGCTCCCAGAACGATATGATAGGTTTCAAAGTGATACTCCAGATTTCTAAAAGATTCTGTATCAATACGTCAGGTTCGAAGCTGATTCTTGTAATTTCTAAGACGATACTGCAATTTCTGAATTAACCACAGGATTCGCCCGTAGAAACTACACTTCCCATCCCTCTCAGACATATTAATTTAGAACGAACCATTGACGATCACGCGTGCCGTTTCGCCAGAAATTTCAAAGATAAAGGAGAGCCAGTCATTAAACGCAGCGCAAAAAAATGCTGGTTGATCCACGCCTAAAAACAGAGAGAGGCAATCCGCGGTGCAAACTCTTCGTCTAGTTTGTTATTCAACTGAAATTTTCGAGTGTATTTCTTTCTCGTTCTCGTTTTGCTTTTGAAACAAAAGTCCGTCGTTTCGTCTTTCGTTTTCCTACTCCTCCCAGGTCTCTCGGATTCGATATTTTCGCTGAATCTCGGCGCGCCCGTGCGCTGTGACCTCTCCTTTTCGCGTGTTTTGCGGAAACATACCATTTACGTAGCCGCGTGAGAAGGAGAACAGCGAGAGAGAGACGCGTCCGATTTAATTTGCATTTTTGCCGGCGACGAGACGGTACACGCTCAGCTCGCGTGTCTTTCCCGCCGCCGCCATTTTGTTCGCCGGGTTGGCCGGGCCGGCATCAGCCTCGAAATTCATCGTTGTTCCGCGTGCTTGTCGGCACAAACGTAATCGAAAGCTTCTTGCACAATGAGAGAGATACAGACCCATAACATCGATGAATCACAATCGCGGCGAAATCACGTTGTAATTCACCAATATTACGGGTCCGTAGTTTATTGTGCAAGACACTCCAAGCCGGCCGGTCGCTAGACCGCGGAAATGTTGCAATTATGCAAATTTACATTTCCGCGGGCAAGCCCGACGAAACTTGCGGAGATAAGGTGAAATTCTATTTTCGTCGGAGGTGATTTCGATGGATTAAACATAGAATCACGTCATAAAGAACTTGAGATTTTTTATTTTGCAATCACTGACATCTCGAAAGCGACCTTACCCAAAAACGTTGCAGAAATTCCTCTATTCGGGCCCATAGAGCGAGCAAAATCGCGCAACATTCAAACAAATACGCTCAACGTCTTGTTACAACAACTTAAGTACAGTTTACATCGTTGAAAGTTGTAATCTTACAGAGTAATTTCAGGATTTATCGATTATGTACCGCGAACGCGTGTACATACCACAATGTAACTGATAACTCAGTTACAAACTACCTCCGTGAGCGGACAGTGCCGATTTCAATTACAAATCCGTATAAGTTCATGATGGCCTAAAAAACCTCTCGTCGAATTACCTATTAAATTTTTTCCCGTGTCCGTTGCGTAATCACATTACGAACGTTCTCCAATCGGAACAGACACGTGAGGTAGCTGAAATTCGTTCGATTGGTGCGCAGGTCGTTACATTGTAAACAACCACGAAGCGAAGTTAGCCCGCATTCGAGTAATTACGTTATTTTATGCTCATTGTATACTTATTTCACCGCGGCCGGTGTTACGCGAACGAACAGATGAACCCGGAACGCGTTTCCAACCGTTTCGAGGTTAAGTTACGTTTACAACGGAGCCGCGATTACAGCTGAGAGAGTATGGGCGTCGGATAGAGCGGCGATAAAGTATCTATCTTCGATGCGTTTATGGTACTTAAATAGTATCGTGGTGTTCTATAAAAGTAACGATAAGCGCGGAGCGTAGAAGTAAATGCTTCTGTTTTATAGTGGAAACGTTTATGTTGAACCGACGCGTAAACCTACGTTTAGTAAATTGCTTATAGTTACGTTTAGTAGTTGAATTATTGCTACGATTCGTAATTGTGTACAGTTACGTTTATTAATCACTGTCACTTCTCGAATCTTGAAAATAATGACAATTCTGCTTCAGCTTCAGCAACTATCAGTAATTTCACTACTGTAACTCTGTTGTAAATGTATCTTTAAAAAACGCCACGTGCCGTGCTATTCCGTTTTTTGCATTGTCGGCCTTTCCGGGTCATTTTTTGGTTGTGTTTTTCTTTTCCTTTTAATCACAGGAAATTGAAATTAGAGTTCTGAGTATATTATTATTATCTAAGAAATGGAGCTTATAGTGATGGTATATACCATCAGACGTCGGTCAGTTGTTTTTCTTGGCAACAAGTCGCGGAATAAGTCATCAACCAGCGTAATAATTACGTTTGGACGACAACCGTAACTCTCGGCGCGAGCACGAGGCATCCTTCCATGTTTTTACACCTGAACAGGCGGAACGGTTCGCCTTTTTTGCGTTCCTTGAACCACCGTTAAGGAGCTGGCTCGTTCTGATCTAATTTTTAGTCTGTATAAATATGGAACAAAACAGTGCGCTAAATAATTCGAATCTAAATGCACGGTTGGATCTCTTGAGCCAACGTTAACTCGTTGAACACCGCACGATCTCAGAACAAAATACACAAAATGGAAAAAACTATAATGCTAAATCCTTTGATTGAATTGTGTTATTCTTATTGCACGTTTGTGTAGCAGAATGTCAGCGCATTAGATAGCATTATTTGTAATATAGTAATGTTTCCAATTAATCATCGTTTAATTGAGTGAACTATAATAGTGCAATTTAGTTGGGGATCATCTGTAACCTCTATGATTTTACACATTATGAATGTAACACATTCAATGTGTTACAAAACTAGTTCGTGCTAATCTAATCTTTGGCCTGTGTAGAGATGGCACGAAACAGTCTGCTAAATTGAATCTAAACGCATAGTTTTGAATGCTTGATACTTATTTAAAGTACTTATATTATAAAGTAGACGATTCAAGGGATTTAGAAAATCAACTTCAGCCTTAAAAAATTGATTACTTGGAAGTGAACTATATTTCAACGTTTCGAAGCTATTCACAATCAACTATTCAACCTCATATTTGAAGGCTGCTTCTACTACTTCTATTATTTCCTACGAGAGTAATAACATTCGTCCCATATGAGTTGTATAACGCGGTTCATGTATTTCTGCCCGATAACCCCAGATGATCCCTTGCCCATTCAGCCGCGAATCAAATCAAGAACAAGTCCCGCAACCCACGTGTTGAATCGTGATAAGCTTCCCGAAGGAGCAACTTTTAGGCTCCTCGCCTAGCGACGATTTCCCAACGTCACGTGTCCTCTAAGCGAACATTATGCAAAGGATTGCGAAACGGTCGCTCTCGTTTTCACCGGACCGGGCGGACGGCGCCAAAGAGGGCCCGTGCCAGATGATCAATAGACATGAATTCGAAAAATCGCGATTGAAATCTAGTAGCTCGCCTTGCGGTTCGTCCTTGCCCGGCCGCGGTAACATCTTCCATCCTCATCAAGAACTTTCACTGGCGGCGCGGTCACGCGCACGCGGGCGCGCTGTAATGCCTCTATTCGCGGCCAATTTTACCTTCTTTCTCGCGTTCCGCCGCTCGCGCAATTAGCGGTCTCATTTTATTGACGGGATATTAGGCCGAGCACAAGGCGCTCACTCACGGCTTTATGAAACTCCGCTAACACGTAATCGCTACGTAATACACGCTCCCGGAATAGAAGAAACGAAATTACTGGAGCGACAAGATGGCGGACCGATCTTCGGCGTCTATCGCTGGAGCTATTGGTTCGGTCGAAGTGATTCGCTCTTGATTTCTTTCGGAATTGCTGCATCAAGCAAGGCTTTTTTTAGAAGTTAGTAAATTGTTTCTTTTTATTTCGAAATTGCATTTTGGAAATGCCATATGTAGATCTATTGCACGCATGTGAAAAAACACTGAATAGCGTACTCAACTGATTTCATTCTTTATTGTTTCCAAGTTAGTATTATTGAGTTTAGAATGATCTAGCTAAAATATCAATCGAAATAATGATAAGTGTATTCTTATAGTTTCTATAACGAAATGAGAAATCAGATCGACTGCTTGATAGTTTTAGGAATATATTTCATATGTATGATTTTGCTGTTGCTTGCATTGGAATTCTGCGAGACGATAATAATGTGTCATGTCAATAATCAATAATGATAATATCGTTTTAGACTCGGTCTCTCTGTATGGAATTACTTTGTTCGTGGAAGATATTTTTGGAGACTAAAGCCGGTGTAGATAAATTAAATTGGCGTTAATAAATCGCAGCGCTCTGTTATCCGCTTTTTGCATTTGAACTAAAATTCAATAAATAACAAGCCCATTCAGCCACTTTGTAGAAGCTACACTCCGAGGCAAAAAGCTATCGCAGCTTTTAAAAATTTTTTCTCATCTGTTCGATCATCCCGTTGCATTATCATCGACATTTCCACTACAATTTTCCCAAACTTCTCTCAAATTCAGAAATACATCCTCCAAAAAAAACGACAATTCGACTGAATCAAAGAAGCCCGGACAAACGTGGCGGCGTTGAAAGAGCTGAACAACAGGGTTAACGCGTCGAACGTTATATACCAAATCTGACGAAACAATATTGTATAAATCGTATGGTATCAAAACATTTGTTGTCTTTTGCGATAAGTTTCATTGCACCATCGTAAACGAAGAAAGATTTTGTTTCATTTCAATTTTCTCACTTGCGCGCCGCTTGAACGGAAAGCAACCCGAAAAGAGCTTCGCCTTCAACGCGTAAAACAAAGAACAGCGTTCGTCTCGAAGGCTCTCGCTGTCCAAAAATTAGTATGCGGTACGGGAAACGGTTTCGAAATTGAACAACGTTGGATCCTTTTGCCGCGGAGTATACGACTCCGCGGTTGTGATTTAGGGTTGGTCCAGGGTCGCAGATTCGCAGAAGAAAGAGAATAGCCGTGCCTCGAGCCGCAAACCATTTCGAAGATTTGCATTTTTCGAGACTACTACAGGTTCAGAGGTCCTAGCTGAAAGTCGAAAACGTCGGAATTAGTCACGGGGCCACGTCTATTTGCTTAACAAACCGCATTGTCTCCGAAGGTGTCAAGTACGTTCGCCAACCGTTGCGCGAGTCATCCTCGCGCCTCATCTTATGTTTGCGTATCTACAGCGCTATCAGCGCGATTGTCCATTCATTGCCACATATTCGTGACCGCTCGGTGTCAACGATGATTTATAAATATTAGATCGTTCATCATTGAATCGTATAATTAAGATTAATTCTTTTTATATTTGTGTTTGTGGTAATTTATATTTTATTTTGTGATTTGTACACGAAGAAAGCTTTACAGAGAATGAAACTTTATTTTCTTTAACTCTGTAATACAAAAACTAGTTTTCCCATACTTCAAAATTAATCATGGAAAATATATTTCCGTGTGACGAAGGTTTTGTTCGTCTTATCTATGGATTATCTATGTATAGATTACAGTTGGATTAAGAAATCTTTTGTTTACCTGAATCTTTTAGTATGAAAGGAATACAAAAAACCGTATTATTTAACAGGTGATCAATATATGTCCACCTTGCGCTCGCGAACCTTCGTTTCCTTCTCTGGACAGGAATCCATCATGTTCTGCGTCCATTTGTAGGATGAACGTTCTCGACAGTGACATTTGACTTGCCCGGCGTTTTCGCGATCGCAAGAGCAAAGCGTGCCGTAGGCTCGTTATGCTGCAACAATGACGTAATCAAAAAAATGACTGTATCGAGAACTCGGGGAAACGAGTTTCAAACGTTTCTGGATAGTTACAGCTTTACGAGAGTGTCGTAATGAAATATCGAATTCGTAACTAGACGTATAGAAAGTATCGTCGAACATCGTAATCCAGCTCTGTGGATCGAGCCATTCATTTGGCGAACTGATTAGCTGTGCAACATGAAAAGAGGAAAAAGAAGAGTTCGATAAGATTTTGTGGGGAAAGGATTGATCTAAAGTTTTAGAGTTGGCGTTTAATATTAGATTTACGGATACTTAGCGTACAATTTGTTCTATTGCTCCTAGAAAAATTTATGTTCGTTCATTCAGCTCTCGGAAATTAGAAGTTTAGAAATAGACAATTGGGAGACACATTCTTGCAACTGCCTCAATCGGAATCGACGTAAACGTTTGCTAGATAATATTTACATTTTGGCTCGAGAAGGAGCTGAGATTCATTGACGTCTTGAAAACTGCTAATTCGAAGATGTGTCACGGTCGACAGCTTCTCATTGTTCGCGAAGGAAGCAATGAACGTGTATCGCAATCTGTTCATCCCTAAATATATTTCTCGATATATTGAAATAATCGTTGTTTTTCAATATAATCAGCTTGTTGGAAAGAACTGTGCTTAACTTATTGTAGCTTCAAATATCAGTTGCACAAAGGGCACGATTCTCTTGAAATTATCAAACTTTCCTAATATTCTTCTCGTTCGTCATTTTTATTCTTCTATTTCAGTTCTTCCAACGAAGAAAAAATTCAAATCCTATCCCTAGATTAACGAAACTGGTCCCAAAATCTTCCAAAAGAATCTAGACACCGCATCAGAAAAACTAAACTGCCTCTAGAATAAAAAAGTACAAAATATGGACGTATCACCTAACCTGTTCGCCAAAAGAACCAGTCCACACTCACCCTCGCAAGCGGAATCAAAAGACGCAAAAAACACGAAAGATTAACGGCGCCGGTTGACGTCAAAGTATTCCGTAAAATAAGAGAAAAAAGGGTGCAACGAAAGAACGCTTCGAAAAAATAGAAGATCAGTTCGGGGTACACCGTGCGACAATTTAAATGTGCAAAAAGTAAAGATTAACGGCGCTATTTATCATAAAAATATTACATAAAACGAATGAACAGACAAGTGATTCGGAATATAGTTGAGTACCAATTATCTGGTATCCTCAAGGCTAACTTCAACAAGAAAATGAACATAATTTAACAATTTCTAATGGGCAATGTAATGTACGAGCGATGAAGTGAGAAAATCAATTGCTACGTTTACAACAAAATATTCTTTACGACCTTGAGAACATTAACATTTCGTTATTAGTACTCAGCATATGAATATCATCTACCTTAGAAGTAACGAACACCTTTTCCCCATCACCATGTACAAGTTAACTTCTACCGTCCGTCATATCATGACAATCCGAACTTCATTGTAACAGAAGATTCCTCAACTACATCAAGACAATAGATCCACAGAATAGCACAGAACGATACAGAAAACTACAAGAAATACTGAAAATGTGATGCTTCTTATAACATTTCTTAAGAAACAAGCAATTTCCCATTCCAACTCTGTGGAACATTTGCAATCTAAAGTTCCGTAAACATCCATTATCTAACGGTCAGCATTGTATCGGAACGCAATGATAACTCAGCTAAAGTGTAACATCGTACCACTAAGATTAGCAATCCACCAATTGCAAGAGGTAGGGGCACGCGCCAGTGGTGGGGTCCAGCTGTCAGACATCAAAGCCGCGGTCCGGCGATGATGACGCGAGGCGTCTACGAGGACAGCTCGCTTTCCATTCGGATTCTATGATTACTTCTCCTGCACGGCAGTCCTTTCTCGGTCGTCGCGCCTCCTCGGTCGTCACGGTGCTCATGCAAATAAATCGCGGGCCGACCCCCTCCCCACCCGCGGCTCCACGGGCTACTGTCTCCTGGGGAATCGCGTCCGTCGAGTGCCGGGGGGCCGAACACCACCGTCACGTCGCGGTGCACGGTTTTCAACCCCGAGCGGGCACAGGGAACCGGCAGTATAGCTCGGCACGCGAAACCGTGAGCTCGTTCGCCGGAAAATCTCGACCGGTTTCACGCTTAGACCAAACGCGTGCGTCGCTAGACAGGTCCGCAGAGCCAACGACACATTTGTTGTTCGACGGTGAATCGGTTTACCATCGATGATCGTTGAGAACGGATCAGCTTTCAGCTGCTAAATCAGAGGAAGACAACGATGATGAAAATGGAACTGCAATGGAAGATACTGTTGTTGCTGGCTTCCTGCTTAGCACTGGCAAGCGGAGAGGCGCCGCATCACGAAACGATGCTGGAGACCCTGCCCCTGTACACCGTGATCAGCAACAACGACCTGCTGAACGAGACTCAGTGCAAAACGGAAATGCAGACTTTGCTCGAAGCTGTGGATACCAAGAAACTGTGGGGCATAAGAAGTTAGTACTGGACGATGAATTTGCTTCCTTTCTTTGGCCTTTTCGCAGGTGTCGTTTGATTTTATTACGTGGGGAACCGATGAGGCTAAGTCTTGGTTCACGTCGATGTACACGCTTCGATCGTGGAGTATAAATAGGAGAATGCGGCGGGGAAATTCGAAGGAAACGAAACGAAGCGCGCCGCTTGTTTCGTAACAAGCTCGTTTCCGCTCGCGTGTGCATACAAACAGTTACGCCGGCGAACGGATAATTCGGCTCGATAACGACTGCTCTAAAGAAGAACGTTTATCGCGAGTGCATACCGCGTTTAGAGTGGCTATCGGGAATTCATTTGCTCCGAGACTTCGCTTTTTATGAGATACTATTAACGACAGTTCATACTTAACACGTTGAATGCCGCACGATTTTAACCTGCGGAATATGCGAAATGAAAAAGATACGATATTAAATTATTTCATTGAATTGCGTTGTTATTATCGCAGGTTCGTTTTGCTGAATGTCACCGCATTAAGTAGCATTATTTACAATGTAGAAATGTTTCAAATAATCGTTGTTTAATTGAGGAAATTGCAGCAATTGAATTTGGCCGGGGGTCACCGGTGACTCCCATGGCATTCAACGTGTTAATGAAACATTTGCGAAACAGTAACACGCAATTACCGTCACGTGTCACAAACTTATCTTACGATACATTCAAGTTTTATATATTATTGTTCGTCTCTTTTCAAGCCGGTCGTATTGCCACGGATTCGTTGTAGAAGCTTACACGAAAACGACTTTCGTTGTTTGTTGTATGTCCCACTGTATGCATTTGCTACGCGACAATAATATTAATATTATGCGTAAGAAGTGCTTCTGACAGCAAATCGCCACAGTTTCATTCCGAAACGAACAACCGGCTGCAGTTCGCGCTTGCGCAACCCGGAATCTCTCTAAACGTACGATTACGCGACGATTGTCCCTGTACCGGGGCCGAGACTCCTCTCGCGACACGGGCAACCCCGACATCGACCATCGGAGACTTTCTTCCGTGTTACACAAGAAAGTATAGTTTCATCGGTGACCACGGAAAAGCGGGTACTCCGTTGATTCGGCTCTGATGTCGAACACGATACGGGTACCGCGGGATGCGCATCTTATCTACCCGTGAGATCGATTGGTCACGATCGAGTCCGTTCGAGCTTGGTGTATACGTTACAGTAAATTTAACTAATCCGGCAATTATACATAACTCCCTCGAAATTATGCATAATCACCGATAACGTTGGAGAATGATTATACATAATCACCGAGGGATTATGTATAATCTCTGCTTTATCATATTGCCCGGAACATATATATACCTGACCTTCGATTTTTCGCGATAATCCGTTCCACGTGGGTTTGTTTTACGCGAACGAAAATCGCGTAAAACGAACCTGTCGGTACAAGAGAAAACAAAGTATTGAAGAGAAAAGCTGGTATAAGTTTTAGAAATGTATATTTATTTCACATAGCTTAACAAAAGAAATAATAACAATGACATTCTAGAAAACAAAAGTATATTTTGTTCGCTGTTACTAAATTAAGATCGCGTAAATTGACATCGCGCGTAAAAACTACCGTGTAAAAAAGAGTCAGGTATACTCGCAAACCGGTTTAATTGAGCTACTAATTTGCTAAAGTGTTTAACAGTCTATACAATCAGAAGACTTGCGATAAAAAATGTTCGTCCTAATGAACACTGTAGAAACCACTACGCTTTGGATATTTCATATATTCTTCCCCATTGTACGCACCTCGGGCAATTCTGGACTTGCAAATTTCCCATACATTCATAAAGACTGAATAGAACCGCTCATTGGCTGAATGAGTTACATCCATTCTGTGAGATTCTGGAATTTTCGTCATCGAAGCGTCTATTTTCAACTGTTTACGTTTCAAATAAGATTCTCTACTATTTTTATTGTAAATAGTGCAATGTTCGTGAAGATTACTTCGAAGATATGCTGTTTCATGCATTTCTCGGGTTAGATAGTTCAAGCTACATCTGTGATGATTAACTTAACCACTTGCGCTGGAAATGAATTTAGAGATTCGACAAAGTCTCGCGCGGTGAATTTTGTTTTTACCTATTTTACGCACATGTGGACATTAATTTCGTTTGTTAATCATTTTGTATAGAGTGATACATTTCGAAACAGTCTAATATGATTGATGCAACAAGATTATTAATGTGTAAAAGACATCGTTGATTATTTTGAAACAGAAACGTCTCGACGTGCGTGGCACATCTTTCCAGCGCAAGAGGTTGAAATAAATGTTGGGTTTAAATTGAACGGTTTTCCTCGTATCGATTGTTATGCTGCAAAGTAAACGTGGATACAGATGAACCGGGCATTCTTCCTTGCTTTGGGGTGAATTATTAACGGACTAGGTTATCTTAGCGAGTGCAATAATGAAAAAAATCATGAGACAAGTGATTAACCGATCCGACTAACGGTTGGCTCAATTGTTTCTTCCCGAAGTGTTGGACGTTAGCGGCCAACCCGGCCCCGGGTTCACCGTCGGAAACAACTTTTGGTCGGGTAGCCGTGTAGGTTGTACCTACATCAACGAGAAAAGGGAAATGCCGCTGTCGATGAGAGCGCTCCGGAACGCGTCGCAGTACCGCGACCCGAAATACGAGTACCCGCCGTACCAGGTGCAATACTACGTCGCACGGTTCATTCATAACAGCACGCAGCAGTATCACATGAGTGTGAAGGGTGAGGTAAGTGGTTGACATTCATGATCGTTCGTCACCGCATTCCGGGGATTCCCGTCAGAGTACTGGTAATTGCGTCGCTTTCCGCGTGGAATAATTGGAAAGACGGATTCGGGAGTCGAATGGTAGATAGTGCTAGGCGACTAGAGATAGAAAGTTCTGATAACCGTGTGTTCAAAGATAGAGGCTTTCAATGTTGTAGGGTTTTCCGGTTTAGACGAATGGATTAATCGGTACGGTCGACTTTTCTAGAGCACTTTTCCTTCGTTAGTTATCGAGTATTATTTATCATTGGAGTCTTGAATTAGTTTTTCACCTTTGTGGATGATCGATCGAAAATGGTTAATACGAAAGTGCTGCTAATAAGACTTTTGGAAAGTGGTTTTGTGAGCTGGGCTTGAATCCAGTTCCTCACCCAAAAATCATAATTTGCCTTCAGAAGTAATAGGAACTTCGAAAGACTAACTATATTCCTCGGAACGTTGACAAGATCTAAGCGCCTTGACAAGTCGTTGACATCGAAACCTCGATTGCGGTAACTTCAACCCTGTGCACTGTTAATACTTCGATAAACAGCGGATAAACGGCGATGAAACCGATGGCAAGAAGCTATCGTGCATGACTCGACAAAGTGGTTAACCTTTTCGCAGCTAATATTACCTCAAAACACTCAAACCGCGGTACTTTCTATTCGTAATTCATTCATTAATTCGCTGACAATGTTTTGGTTACTTTCATCTTTCGTTTATCGAGAAACACGTGTTCCTGTTGTTCGAGCGACCCTCTTTACTGCGAAACTGTTTAGCAACGTCGGCTATGGAGATTTCTCGATGGTTTTCATTCAGTTTCTAACGATGTTCGTACAGTAGGACCTCGATTATCCGAACTGACCGGGTCCGAGATAGTTGAGATGTATACACAGCTTAGATAATCGAACAATAAAACAAAAGGCGATCATCAAATAATCGATTTATATTCGAAATTTAAGGACAACGTGTCAAACGATCCAGAGTTCGGATAATTAAGGTTCTGTCAATCGAGGATCTACCGTAATACTTGTTCATCCGTTGATGAACCCATCCGTTCTTTCAACCCATGCCGAAACGATTGATCGAAACGAGACTGATCGAGTCTCCCCGAATGTTTCAGGACCGAGTAATATTGGGACTTTGCCTGCCATCGTCTTGTACGGAGAACGAGATCAGCGTAATCATGGAGAAAATCTTCCACGATAGAACTCTGTTAAGCAACTATCTCTATTCGGCGGACTATAAGTTGTACGCCGTCTCCAATCTGACGGACGACTATAAGTGGCTGCTGGACGGGCCGAAGATTATAATCTTGTACGTAATTCGTACATAATTCGTCTACGAAATCTGGTATTCCAGTTTCCAAGTGATTCGCAGAAGAAGAAATAAAGAAACAATCAACTGCGTTGCCCATAAAATTTTCAATTAATGGAAAAGTCGAGTTAATCACTTTGACCTGTGAAGCAGCAACTGTTCAAGGTTCTTCAATGTTCTTAGCATGGATAACTCCTATACAAAGTCCATGTTTACATCTGCATGTTTTACGTATTCTAGTTTTTGCATTGTTAATATAAGTCAAAATGAAAAGTAATGGGCTTAAAGAACAGTTCGATGGAAATGAAATTTGGAAAATTTAGATGGTTGCGAATATATTACATATACCTATATACGTGTCCGCGTCGGTGCGATGATCATTTAGATTTTTCCGTATGTCGTCGATGAGGACGGTTATCTTAGAATCAATCTGTACTTTGATCCTCGTACTTTTTCGTGTGTTGATATTTATATGTTTTCCACTAAAAAAAAAAACTATATATTGCGTTGTGTTATTCGCGCGCGCGTCCGTGTGCACGGCATCGCCCGTGACGGATGCAAGAAAGGCATTTTCCTCCTGCATAATTGACCGAGACGCTCTTAAAATAATGACACTCGTTTCCCGATTTTGTTTATCTACAGGCTGATATTGTTCATAACGGTCAACCTGACGCTGATCGGCACGGTGTACGACGTGATGATCTTCCAAAGGCGGTTTAAGAAGAAGAGAGACTTCCTCGCATTCGAGAACAACAACACTGCCGGTGAGCGAAATACGTTGACCGCAGCTCAATTCGATGGAACGTGGAAAAACGAGAAATCTTCGAATATTTGCATTTCATTTGCGGAGAAGCATTTCAATGTGGGAATCTGTGGGCCCAACGAAGAGACAACATTCGTCGAGAAAATTCGATGGCATGGAGAACAAAAGGATTTGTACAAACGTGTCCTTAACCCATTTTGTTAATTCCCACAAGCAATTTGTCCCTGAAAAATTCGAAGAACATTGTCTTTTTCTTATCGAAAATATCAAAGGATAAACTACTCGAGTTCATTGGAAGTATTGCTAAATATTTATTTAATAAATATATGCACTTATACGAGTGTAACAAAAACACACGTTGAAGAAGGTACTACTAGTAAAATAGAGCAAAATGGGTTAATCTCGAATTTAAAACTCTGTCCCCAGTCTTCCATCAATTGATTTGCTTAAACGGTTGCATTGCGAACTCTTCGATTCGATGAACATAACTTCCATTTTCGTTTCTCATATCAGTCAATTGTCATTTCCCAACAATAGAACTATTCACTAATTAGCCTTTCGAAATTTTTCTATAGAAACTCCAGAAGTTTCAATTCAGTTTGCATATTATTAAATCAGTTTTTTCAGTATTTTCTTAAAGAAGCATCAGTTATCTTTTCAATAATTGGAAAAAGAAGACATAAGGAATGGGTCATTTTTGACTGGTCTGATAGTTCCACTGTCAACGTTCAATTATTTTTACCTTGTAACGGCGCAACTCGATCAACAATGATCTCTGTGCAGAAATGAAGAACGATGTGGAAGCAAAGCACGAGCCTGATCCAGAAACAACCCCGTTGGAGTCTTACAAGCCGAAAACTGCCACACAAAAAGTGCTACTATGCTTTTCCGCGTATACGAACGCCAAATCGATTTTCAATTTCGATAGTGGAGCGGAGACAGTGAGCGCGATTCATGGTATGAAGTTCCTCAGCATGGCGTGGATCATCGTTGGGCACAGCGCGTACTACAGCAACAATTACATAGGTAAGAGAATCGATCTCGTTCCGTGGACCACGCGTGTACATATTGAAAGGATCCAGTACATTAACACGTTGACTGCCACGAGAATTTCGAGCGTTTTGTTTATAGTCAGATTTAACCATTTATAATAAAGACTGATAGTATTTGAAATAATTATTAACCCTTTGCACTCGAGAGGCGCCTTTCAGTCACCGCTCGATTCAACCCAACAAAATGATAAAATTTAAAGTTCAATATTAAATTTTATATAGTGTATCAACACATAGAACGTCGAAATAAAATAGTTCTGTCACTTAATTTATGCAAGGTATTCCTTTATGTCAGTTGGAAAAAGTATCATTGATATTTCATCAGAAAGAAATGAATATTTGTTGAGAAAAATGTTTTCGAGTGTAAAGGGTTATTGTTTTGGTACTACAGTACTCATATCACACTATTATCTAGCTTTTTGTGTCACTAAACATTTTGATTGAATATCCATTTTCTTATTGGAATTGTCTTCAAGCAATTCGGAAGCTCCGGTCACTGGTGACCACCGTGGCAATCAACGTGTTAACACCTTCATGACCAACGTTTCTTTCTTCGTGATTACGATATTTTATTAACACGTTCACACAGCATCACATATTTCTGACAGTCGTAATCCTATATTTTACACAATGAAAACGAAATTAATCCTATGGATATTGTTATTAGAAATTATAAACTACGACGTTATACTTAGGAACTCAATGACTTGTTTCAGTTTCGTTTTTCTAATATTTTGTTTAGAAGATTTATTAGATTGAAGAAAATATTATAATTTAAGTGTTAACACGTTTACGACCGTTTCTTTCTTCGTGATTACAATATTTTATTAAACGAAAAGAAATTGTCTTCGTAAAATGCAAATGAAATTCAAAGAAAAACGAACCTCTCACGACTTACACTGTGCGGTTACGATTTTTCATACAAACATATGGAAATAATTTCATTTTTAGTGCAGAAAAAGAGATTTGTAGGCACAACGTTCGTGGAAACAATATAATAAAACGTTTTGTTTATTCCACAGCCAACGTGGCGTTGGGCATCGCCTTTACGAACGCGAGTCTGGTCCAGATAATCAGCAACGCGACTTACTCCGTGGACACGTTCTTCTGCGTGAGCGGCTTCCTGTTAGGCTACTTGTACTTCAAACTGACGCGAAAGGAGAAGAAGCCGGTGTTCAATATGAGGCTGTGCGTCAAAACTATAATCTTGCCGATCATCAACCGATACATCAGGTACTTATCTGTTTCCTTTGAGGAAGAACTATCCGCGAAACAAAAAGGAAAGATAACTTCTAAACGATCGACATTTTAAGACTCACGCCTGCATACCTGATCGTGATACTGCTCGCGATACTGAACTTCACCTGGTACGACAAAGTCGCGATGCACACGGATCATGAGAATCCGAGCTACTACTGTTCGAAGTATTGGTGGAGAAATCTGCTCTACATCAACAACCTCTTCGAGTGGGAAGAATTGGTATTAAGATAACATTTAACATTAAAACTTAACACTAGAATTATTGGCAGACTCAAAATGACTCATTCGGAAATCTTTATTTCACAATTATTCAAATTCTAAAGATGCTTCTGTGAGGACTCCTCAGATCTCAGAAAGTCCACACTGCTAATTGTTTATAAGAAATTATGAATAACCGAAATGCTCGGTAGATCTAGTGTTAAACGATAAGAATTCACGAATCCAGTTGTTTGTACGGTGTTCTTGTTGCAGTGCCTCAGTTGGAGCTGGTACGTGTCCAACGACATGCAGTTCTTCCTGTTCGGCACCATTCTACTGTTGCTGTTCACCTGGTAAACAATCGTTGCTTTTAGTTCATGCTTAGTTGGCCGATTTAAGTACTTCAAACTATCCATTAGTCATTTATCCTCGGCGAATGATTTCAGGTGGGCTTACGTCGCCATTGGCGTGGCTTGTATCTCGCTGTTGTTGACATTTATAATAACCGGTTACACAGTGTACACCAACGAGTACGTTCCCGCGTGAGTATCGAAAAATATTCCTTCAACGGAACAATGACCCTCTTTTGACGCCCAATATGCAACTCGATTTTCTGTATCAATCTCTCTCCCTCGCTCTCTTAGGATAGACGACGCGCACAGGACACTATCATTCCTATACATGCGACCGTGGATAAGATCCGGGCCATACTTGATAGGATTAGGTACGGCGGTCCTCCTTGAAAAATGGAACTACAATTTAAATTTATCGACGGTAAGAACTGGTTCACACCGCTCTAAATATTTCCTTAATAGTCGAATCGGCACGTAATCGGCGTGACTAATTCGTTATTTTTTCTAACGAGTTACGAGGGCACATTATTTCACTTTCATCGGAAAATGATCACGAGACTGCTTTCGTCGTCCTATCGGTTTTCGAGAATTTTCGAATTTAGTTTGAAAATTATTTTTACGTCAACTGCAAGAGGTACGCAAAAGTTCCTTAGAAAAGTGGTTCTACAAACTCTCCAAAATAATTTACGTAACACCGTAACATTGCTTCTCTTGGAAAGAATGCGGGGTGCTCAACGACGCGAAGGATCGCCAACGGTACCTCAGCTTGCGAAATCGCTTTGTATTCTGCATTGAACGTTCGACGATTCTTCTCCTATTCTAAACAAAATTTCTCGCGAACTGAAAGTGTACTATTTTAACATGTAGGTCTACTATTGATAGCAGTCTAGAAAAAAGGATATAACTCATCAAGGTCAAATATCGCAAGGTTTAACCCTTTGCGGACGAAGATTCTTCGAAACATACAAAACCTTCAACATACGAAGCTAAATTACATATCAATTGCTTAATTAATAGAGGAAAAAGGTAACTACGTTCTAATCTCTTGCTGTTCGACTAATAAACATCATTTGTTCGCGAGTTAATCTTCCAAATACGAACGTTTCATCTTACCGAAACGCCGACATCCGTCCGCAAAAGGTTTATATTGGCATTGTTAAAAACATGTCTCTATTAATGTGATTTACGTTTCAGAAAGCCAAGATGGTTGGATGGGCGTTCGGTATCCTGTGCAACGGCTCGATTTTGTTCGGTGTCGTGGATAAAAACTTAACACCGGAATTTAGTATTCTTTACACCTCCTTAACCAGAACGTGTTGGGGTTTAGGCATATCGTGGGTAATACTCGCGTGTTCCACGAACAACGGAGGTAATTGAACATTTTTCGCTACTCTATGCAATACGTCGCATAGGACAAAGCGAACACTAACGCGTGCGTTCGAAGAAGAAAAAAAAAGAACGAGAAAACGTATCCAATACTTGCATGATTCATTTTTCACTTCCTCTTCTTTTTTACTTCTAGGTATCGTGAACAAAATCTTATCGTTCCCAATTTGGATACCCTTGAGCAGGCTAACTTTGGGCGCTTATCTCTTAAACCCGTTCCTCATTCATTCGCTCAACTTGTTCAACAATTATCCGCACTTCTTTGAAATCTTAAATACAGTAAGTTCTAACGGTGTCTTAACTTCGACGCTGAAAGTCCTCGTCGGAATAACACAGTCTACAAACGCTTCGTTTTCTTCCACAGGGTTGCCTGGCACTGGGAATGTTGGTGGTTACTTACATTTGCAGTATTGGACTCTCGTTGGTCGCGGAAGCGCCGGCGATACGACTTCTACGGCTAGTGTTCAACCGGCGCAAAGAAATGAAATGAGTATATACACATGCAGATCTTTACAATTTATCGATTGACGGGCCAGAAATGAAACGAACGCGACCGCCGTTGCTTCAGTCCGATTAACACGATCGATTTCTTTCTGTTTTCAGAAGTCGCTGCGTTTCCTAGATTCCATGTTGCGCAGAAATGAGAACAAACCTATAGAGTCAATTGTGCAATACTTCGTGAACATTTC